TCTACACCTTGTTATCTCAGATTCTCCAGCATCTGCAGTTCCTACTATCTCTGAAACAGATTTACCAGGATGTTGCTGGAATGGAGGGAAGGTCTTACAAGGAAAGGTTGAGGGAGCTAGGGCTTTTCTCTATAGAACGACGAAGGATGAGCGGTGACTTGATAGAGGTGTACAAAATGATCAGAGGTGTAGATATAGAGTAGGCAGCTAGAGACTTTTTCCTGGGGTGGAGGTAGCTATTACGAGGGGGCATAGTTTTAAAGCGAGTGGAGGTAGATATAGCAGAGACGTCAGAGGTAGGTTCTTTATTCAGAGAGTGGTAGGGGCATGGAATGCATTGCCGGTGAGGGTAGTGGAGTCGGCCTCATTAGGGGCATTTAAGCGGCTGTTAGATAGGCATATGAATGATAGTATAAGGTAGGGGTGGAGGTTAGATAGACCTTAGGATTAGGGTAAAAGTTCGGCACAACATCGTGGGCCGAAGGGCCTGTATTGTGCTGTATTGTTCTATGTTCTAAGGCTTGGTGTGTGGGGTAGGGTGCTGGGACATGGGAGAGTTTAGGCCCTAAAATTATTGAACTTGATATTAAGTCTGGAGGGCTGCAGGATCCCCAAGTGGAAAATGAGGTGTTGTTCTTCCAGCTTGCATTGAGCTTCATTGGAACACTGCAGCAAACCTGAGACAGATATGTTGGCCAGGGAACAGGGTGGTATGTTAAAGCAGGCAGCTGGAAGCTCAGGGTCTTTTTTGCGAGCAGAACATAGGTGTTCTGCTGCACCCCCCGCTCCCCAACACACACACACATTCTCTCTCTCTCCCCCCTCACACTCTCACACACACACTCTGTCTCTCCAGCCCCCTCACACACATACTCTCTCTCTCTCTCACTCACTCCCTCACACGTGCACACACTCACTTTCTCTCCCCGTCAACACAGTTGCATACATTCTCTCCCCTCCCCTCCACCCCCCACACACACATACACACACACACACTCTCTCTCTCTCCACCCCCTCACACACATACACTCTCTCCCCTTTCTGCCTCATCCCACACACACACTCTCTCACCCCCTCACACACACACACTCTCACTCTCTCTCCACATCGCCTCACCCCTCTCCACCCCGTCTCTCTCCCCAACCCCTCTCTCCCCACATCCTGCCCATTCTCTCTCACTCACACTCACACACGTGAATCTGTATTTGCAGATACATTCTATTTTGTTCAAAAAGCACAGAATTTATAGTCAGTCAGGCAGTGTGGCATTTTATAAACTCCTACTTTAGAAATAAAACCAGTCTGACTCCAAACCAAATCGCAAACAGATTCCAAAGAAGACCTCACACCTAACATGCATTGTCTGACCTAAAATGTCACTTCTTCTTTTCACTGATAAAAACCTTTAGTTCTCTCATGACAGCGACTTGAAAGAAATTCGGGGATTTACATACACATCTTATTCAATTAAATCCTTCTAACTGATTAAAGATTTAACAGCATCTTTGGTTTGTTTACTACATCCTCATCAGTTGTGTGACCCTTTGATCTTTTACTTATAAATTCTGCGTCTGATACCACCTCTCTCACTGACAAGGAGCGAAGCTCCGAAAGCTTGTGTTATCAAATGTTGGACTATAACCCGGTGTCGTATGATTTCTGATCATTTCAAACAGGAATAGGAGGGCAGGGTGTATGAAAATGTGGAGGGAAGTTTTTACATGCAGCTGTGGATTCCAACAGAGAAAAATCTGGGTATGGTGTAGGAGGTCCAGCAGGGTTCCCATAGCAACACCATCTACTTAGGCCTACATGGTGTTGTGTAAAATAAACTCTCCTGTGTGAGTTGTTGAGTACAATGATACTGATTCCTACAATGATGGTGGGTACGTGTCACCATGACATAGTGCTGAGGGACAGAGGTCAGTCACTAAGTTTTTTTTAAAACAGCACTGAAAGAGACCCTTCAGCCCATCGAGTGTGTGTGTGTGCCATTCTATGGGCTCCTTAACTGGTATGTTGTTGAACAGATGAACAATATCAATATATGGTTACAGCATGGTGGGGGTTAGAACAGGCCTACACTTTCTCACCCACCCTGCTTGAAACAAGCAGTAATTGGGGAAGGATAGGCTGAATGGCCTCCTGTACTGTACCTCGGCCATGATCTGTCTCCTTGTTGGTCCAGAGTAATCGGAGTCACTGTTTCAGCCCGGCCCGGGCCTGTGAGGACACGGCAGCCCCCTCCTCGCCCACTACCTTGGCGCTCATGGGCGGTTGGACGCGGTTGGTGGGGGGGGAATCCTTTACCAAGATGGCAGAAGCCCCTTCAGACAACCGAGTTAATACCGCGGCCCCTGATGGTCATGACTCCTCAATGCGCGTGTGCAACTTCACCAAAATGGCAGCCCTATACCCCCTTCTACGGGAGCAGGGAGAGGTAAAGTCTATTCCTCCCCTACCTAGAGGATCGAAGAAGATTATTATGCCTTGGACAGCGTGCCGCCCTTTACCAAAATGGCAGATAACCTGCGCCTTGCATGTGGTTAGTAAGTTGTCGACTTTGCAGCGTAAAGTCTGTGGCGATTTCCTTTACCAAGATGGCGAGCACACGCCTTCGCGTAGAGGCGCAGTAATCAGTGTGGAATAATTCCCTATCAAAACATCACCTCATTCCTCACTCCTCCCTGCCAAAATCCCCCCCGTCGCTCCGCCTTCACCAAAACGACAGATGCTGTTCACACTGCAAAGACGGAGCGGGGGGTCTTCCTTTACTAAGATGGAGGATACGCCCCACCCTGTTTGTGTGGTGATGGTCAGTGTGGTCTATCCTTTACTAATATGGCGAAGATACCCACACCCCTTTGTTGTTGGGGGTAGGGGTGTGCTGTATATCCTATACCAAGATGGCGGTGCCGGTGTGGTGATTCCTCTCCCCATGGCTGTCCGTCCTGAGCTCCGGCTCTGCCGGCGCTTCCCTCTTCACCTCCACCCGCTGCAGGTTCTCACCCCGGCAGTGGCCTTCAGTTCCGGGTCCCGGCCCAGCGCAGGCTCTCACTGGGTCCTCTGCCTGAGAAGCGGCACGTCCTGGGCCCCGAATCCAGGCCTTTTCATCTCCGCCACCGTCAGCGAGGAGGAGCCTCCCGAGGCCAGGCCGGGGCCGGGCCCTGAGCCTGAGCCGGAGCCTGAGCCTGAGGAGGAGCCTCCCGAGGCCGGGCCAGGGCCGGGGCCGGGGCCCGAGGAGGAGCCGCCCGAGGCCGGGCCGGGGCCGGGGCCCGAGGAGGAGCCGCCCGAGTCCGGGCCGAGGCCTAAGGAGGAGCAGCCCGAGGCTGGGCCCCGGGGGCAGGTTACTGGAGTCCCCCTCCGCATCTACACCAGCAAGCTGTTTCCCAAACATTACGGGTTATGGATGGAGGAGAATGTGGAGGAGGAATCCCAGGGGCTGCGAGATGATGGGTTTGGTGCCCAGGCCTGCCTGAGGGTCTCTGTGATACACTCAGTGCCCACCCTGACCAAGGTGGTGCTAGGTGCCCGCACCAGGGCCAGCTTGTGCTGGGCTGGCTCACACAACTTTGCCAATGGCCTGCTGCTCCTGATATGCCAGCAGCATCAGATCCTGCTGAGGCAGGGTGATGTTCCCATTATACCTTACCACCCCCTATTCGGGGAGGACAGCAGCGAAGTCTTTACCAATCTGATGGACCTGGTGGTCCTGGAGTGTCAGCCTGTTCTGCAAGGAGTCCTGTCCGTTAACACTAGCCTGGTACTCACTGAATTCAGGGAGTCCGGTCAGCTGCCCTGTACCGAGCTGCAGCCATTCAGGCTGCTCCAGCCTCTTTGCGTTTCTGATTTTGCCCATTACACGAGTGGAGTTTGGGGGACAGGCTTTGGGATGGAGCATGGAAAACCGCTGGACTCTGACATGATGACTTTTCTGCGGGCCCTGGAGTGCAGGCTGGAGGTTACCGTGGTGGATGTGCCTGCACTGCTCGACAGCGGGAAGCTTCGACCCCGAGCTGTGGCTGGGCAACCCAGCGGCCTGGATGCTGATAACCTGCTAGTCCTAACCAAATCATCTCTGCAGTGCCTCGGTCTTTTCAACCACGAGTGGGTCCTCGTCTCGTTGCTGGAACTGGCAGTGGAGCGGGAGCAGAGGGCTATGCGTGCAGAGCTTGACACAGAGCAGCCCAATCGGAAAGGGGAACCAGGAGCCTACAGCAGTCCTGGGCTGACGGGAGGCAGCCCCGATCAGTGGCTGCATGGACGGCTTGCCTCTGTGGTTGTGGTGGATGTGGCTAACAGTGCCCAGCTGGAGCTGGCAGAGAACACAGCGGCAATCTCGCACACGCTTTGGTTTAACGTTTCCAATGGGGCCCCAATCCCCATCGCCAATAGGACGCTGAAAATCAAGGTGGGGTGCTGGAAGTTGGGTTGGGGAGAGGGAGAGAGGTGGGATGGGGGGAAGGGGAAGGTGGGAGTGCCATTTCTCTGATCCTTCATTATGGAAAGTTGTGAGCGGGCCCCTAAGAACAGTTTCACAGTTCACCAGTGTCCTTGAGAAAGCAGAGGTCACTGTTACACTCTAGTGTGACCAGACTGTGCCCTTACTCCCGACATACAATATACTCCCAATAGATCAGGTCAGGTTTTTGCAAAGATCTGTAGCTTGCGCTGTGGGTGAGGTGTTGACTTGCTTGCCGAGCTGGCTTCTTGTTCAGACGTTTCGTCACCATGCTAGGTAACATCGTCAGTGAATCCTCCATTGAAACAATGTTGTTCTACTCCGCTTGGAATTTATACTGTCTGATACATTATGGTGAGTAGTGTCATTTCTGGTTTTAATCTGTACGGGTTTGTACTTGGAGTCCAATTGTATATGTTTGTTGATTGCATTATGGGTTAAAAACCATGCCTCGAAGAATTCCTGTGCGTGTCAATGTTTGGTACTACTCACCATAACGGAATAGGCAGTATAAATTCGAGGCAGAGTAGAACCACGTTGCTTCATCAGAGGTTCCACTGACAATGTTACTTAGCATGGTGACGGAACATCTGAACGAAAACAAGCCAGCTCAGCGGGCAAGTCAACAACCTCAGATCAGTTGCAGATATGGGCAGAGAAATGGCAGATGGAGTTTAATCCGGGTAAGTGTGCGGTGCTGCACTTTGGGAGATCAAATGTTAAGGAAAAGTGTACAGTTAATGACAGGACCCTGAACAGCATTGATGTAAAGAGGGATCTTGGGGTTCAAGTCCATAGCTTCCTGAAAATGGCTGTGCAAGTAGATAGGGTGGTAAAGAAGGCTTATGGCATGCTTGTCTTTATTGGTCAGGGAACTGAGTACAAAAGCATTTAAAGTGAGAGGGGGAAAAGTTCAGAGGAGATACAAGGGGCAAGATTTTACACAGAGAGTGGTAGGAGTGTGGAACGCATTGCCAGGGGGGTGGTGGAGGCGGATACAACAGGAGCTTGTAAGAGATTTTTAAACAAGCATATGAATGTGCAAGGAATGTAGGGATATGGACCAAGGGCAGGCAGAAGAGATCAGTTTAAATTGGCATTATGTTTGGCCCAACATTGTGGGCCGAAGGGCCTGTTCCTGTGCTGTACTGTTCTATGTTCTGTACACTGTAGGCCATTCACAGGAAAATGAGGAAGCTATCTAGCTTCTTGGGTCTGTTGCACAGGAATAAGAGGAGGTCATTTAGGCTTTTATGTCTGTTAAAGAGGTTCGGAACAAGGCTATTCAGCTCCTAATGTAGTTAGTGCAGACTGGCTGTGCGGTCCACAGGATGGAGCTGCAGCTCAGTCATTCCGTTGCTCAGCTGACTGACTCAATGCTGAAGGTAGCTTGTTGTGTTGCAGCGATTTTATCAGACATCCGGTGTGAGCAAACAGCTGAAGGATAGTCGTTCGGCCCTATCTGTCCCTCCACTGGCAAATGAACTACATGTAAAAGTCATCTTCTCTCCAACATACAATGCCAGAGCTGTGTACGATGGTCTGCTGTTTGAGCATTTTAAAACACCAAGGTTAGTGCTTACGCGATATGAGAGTGCGGACAGTTTCAGTACAGCCAAGTATTCCCGTGGATCCACCCTGTCAGAACCGACATTCCCGTGGATCCACCCTGTCGGAGCCGATATCTTCCAGGTTCCCCAGTGATATTCCTGTGGATCCACACTGTTGGAGCTGATATCGGAGATAACAAGGTGTAG